CATCCACAGCCTTTCCCTCATCCACTAAATGCATCAATGCTACACAACAATAATGACACCTTGCAGTTGTCATGATCCAGTGATTCCCTGTGAGTGAATCAGATCTGTAGCAAGGCCCAGTAAATAATTCAAGTGAATGAATGCTTTGGCGAAACAGTTACCTCGGAACCACACCCCTGAAATCAGGACTAGAATTCAGCAACTTCTCAGTGACTAGACAGCTCAGCGTGGTTTTGGCATCACAAGCAGAGGTGATGTAACAAGCAGCAGTTCAGGGCAAGCACAGAACAAGGAACTGGACTCCGAGAGATACACAACTCAAGCATGACTTAGCTATAAAAAGGTTGTGAACCTATGCAGTACAGTACTGCCCTGCAAGGATTTAACCCCCATCACTGGGCAGGTGAGTTCTGGCCTCAGGAAAAACTAGCATTCAGCTACTCCACAGACACATTTTCCTCCTGCACATGTTAGGGAGCAAGTTGGTTGAACAATTGCCAATTGTTTCCACTAAAGGGGAAAAAAAAAATAAATCTTACTATTCCTTCTGTACAAACCCTATCTTCTTAAGGTTTCACATAGCAAGTAGTAATAACATGAGCTGCCAGAATTCTCATGTGGATCTGTCCTTCCCTTCTTTTACAAGGAGTCTGTCAAACAACAAATGTGAAATACTTTTTATGGTTTAGTAGAGCCAGATCAAGAAAAGACAGCTCTTTGGAAAGGGAAAACTTCTGGTAAAGAGATTAACTCTTAAAACTTCAGGGTGGATCCTTTAGTCCAGTAGTTTCAAGTGGTTTACTAGATTAAAAACAACCTCAGAGTTGCACAAGTGCTTTTTATTTCCAGCAGACCTAAGGCTTAGCTTCCTGCAACAGACTCATTTTCTTATTGGGGTCCCCCAGCTTTCCCTCCTGCTCCTGCCGGCACATTAGAAGTTCACCAGCTAAGAATGCTCAGTACTTCCCAGGAAAGATTTTCCTCCTGTATGAGACACACAGGAAAGCAGGAATATGCCATGGTGGAGAGCTTATAATCAGATCAAACTAGCTATTTCAGCAAGTAGATGGAATCTATATGCATTTACAGATTGACACCCCAAAACTTAGTAGGGACAATATAGTATAGGTTCATACTTCAACTGTCTGTTCAATGTGCTGATGGAGACTATGCAGGCTAGGCTCCAAGAACGCTGTAGACAGGCAGCTCCTTCCTCTGTTGCTCCTCTCTGTATTCTTTGGCTACAGAATATTTGATACTCAGAACACTGAACTGAAAGTAATTTCGACACATTCCAGAACTGAACACAGATGGTAAAAGATTCTGTACCAGAACTACTTCTCAGGCAGTTACTGTATTAAATACAGTATTAAACAGCACAATAACTTACAGTATTATTCAGCTCCCTAAAGGTTTCTCTTCCATGTTTAAGCACATAATGCACTGGCAATACAGAAATCAAAAGGAAGAAGCTAAAGAGCCAGAGAGAAATTAAATTATTTAAGCCAATCCTTTTAATCACAGTGCTGAAAGATTTTTGGTTGCAAGGTTAGACAGAATGTTAGCTCATAAAGGAAATGAGCTGGAAAAAACTAATCCTGCATAAGCACTGAGTGTCAAATGCCTTCCTCTTAGACTATACCACCCTTCTGTAAGTCTTAAGCTCTTAATAAACTTCGTGCTTACCCAGAAAAGGAAGAGAGTTCTTCAAAACACTAAACTATCAAGGTCTGTGCTCAGGGCATCTATTAGAAGCTTAAACTACTGAGCTCTATGAGAATTTCTAGGTGTCTTGTGGCAGAAACAGAAAAATGCTGTTCCTAAATATCAAATCAAATCAAATTCACAAACATTTTATGAGCAAGTCACTTCAGGAAGCACATTTTGCATAATTTATCCAATACTAATTATTTGGTAAAAAAATCTGTAATGTGTTCAAACTAGATAATAGAATCCTTCTGTAATATCCAGAGGTCAGTGTTTTGCTTGTAGCAGACAATTTAATTATTTGGTGAATTAGCCACTAGTTGCTTTAATGCTTCACTTGTAATAAAGGAAAATAACATAGTCTATGCAAAATTATAGTCAACTGATGATAAATAGAAAAGTTTTATATAAAAATGTGTATCATCACATCATCTACCTGAATTGATATCTGGATCTTGTCCTTCTAGCAAACTCTCAAGTCTCCTGCTAGTTAGTTCCAGAAGAGTTAAAGGAGTCTGAAAATACAATCCGACAAAGAAAAAAATTACAAAAACAGTACTTCTGTATTTTGAAAATCCAAAGCTGATCTAAAGATGATGAATTTAAAAAAATCACATAATTAACTGCAGAAGACTCTATGCCTACGTTTATTTAGGTACACATCCAAAATACCTCACGAAATTGCACTAAAACATATACATATGTTTATTCCTGATATTTCCAGCCAAAGAAATAGGAGGCAAGTTGTTTTAGATGTTGTTTTTCACTGAACTACAGCAAAAAATGTAGTGTAGACCCTGAACTGATTTCAGCTTATATAATACAAAAGGTTCCTAACTGCAGTTGTGAAAGAACAAGCCACCATCCACCCCGCTGTTCATTTGTCGGATCTGGCTCCATCTCCAATCATGAATCAAAGCCCAAACCCTCATTTCAGAACCCTTAGTAACCAACCAAGCAAAAGCAGTTTGTTTTGGCTCTATATTAACACGTAGAAAACTCACAGTAACCACTTGATACTTTCAACATAAACTGGAGCTAATTAAAAAAAAAAATAAATCTCCCATGTCTCTCTAGCTGATGTCAGAAGTGGAAATGAATGTGTTGTAGAAGAACTAAAAATAGTATTTTACTGAAACCAAATCAATGTTTCAGCGAGGCTTATTTGTAACTGGACAATAAATATCTGGAGCATTTTACAGCTATCTTACAACAGCTGAGATAATTACTTCATCTCTATCTAGTGTTTTAATAAGGAATTTTATAGTTAAGGAAAACAGTAGAAAAACATTACAACTTTAATGCACTGGTTGAATTCAGAATCAACACAGGGTCAATATAGGATCTGGAAGGTTGCATCTTTCCATATATGTGACAATATGATGGAACGTAAATAAAGGAGACTATAAAATATATCTGTATATTTACATAACTAAGTTAAATAGAACGGACATTTAATTTTGTGGTTCTACTTATTTAATTTAGAAGTTAACATTGCAAAATATCAGGAGGGACACTTAAGAGTTGTCAAAGCTGTACGTGTGCACTGGGGCAACAGAGCATGCCATCTTACATATCACTCAGAGCATGTCAGCTGACTCCTAAAGGAGAAACACACTCAAGAAGCCTAAAAATTTAGTAGACAGCCATCAGAAAAAAGGTGCCAAAAGGCCTCCATAAAAAATTCTTAATACTTCAAGTATTTTCTTAACACAAATGATGCAAATAGAGGATATTATATGGAAAGGATTGCAAAGCTCTCAAAAAGCTGTCCTCCATAGTCTGAAATAGCTTCTCGCCCTACCTGTCTGTACCATTAAACCGTAACAGATGGAAACAGAACTGAAACAGATGTCTGCTCCTCAAACGTGTCATCTCCAAAAAGGCACTTAATGGAATTTAACATTTAAAATGACAAAGCCAATGAGGTAAGGAAAATGCTACCTTGAAGAGTTCGGAGTGATTGTCCATCAGAAACTGAGTCAGCAGTTCAGCCTGTGGTTTTGACAATGTCTTATTTTGTAAGATGAACTTTGTGCAAGTCTTGATGATCACTGCTCTGTTATCAAACTAGAAAAAGAAGAACACAGATTTCATGTTAGATTTACTTGCAATGTGTCAGCAAAGACTAAGTATAACAGGATGCTATCAGTGGGAAGAACATTTTGATACTTGTTTTAAAACAAAACACATTGGAAGTCAGTAAACAATACTTCTTAACTCTGGAAAAAGATAAAAAGTTAGCTTTACTACAGGAAAGTGCTATTTCCAACTCTAAACATTACAGATACTTACTTGTTTTTGTAATCGGTAGCCCTCGGATTCAGATGCAATGGCTGTGAACGTCAGGAGTCTGTGCAGCTCTTCTCGGATATTTGGTGCTAATAATTTTAAATACAGTTGTGATGCCTCCAGAGCTTGATCTGTTTTTTCTTTTTCTGCAATGGAGTAAAACAGTGTATCCAGTGCAACTGTTGATTTTCAGAGTCAAGAATACATATTTAAATTCCAATGTTAATCCCATTTTTGAGGGTTTTTCCCTCCAAACAAAGCAGGTTATCTCGGTGACTTCTAAAACCTTTTATCAAGGCTCAATACAGCATTCAATCAACATAAGCTTAAAACCTTTGTCCCATAGCTAGTCAGGGAACAGATGTACTTGGACAATACATACAGAACACTACTACATTCTGTGTACAATATGCAAACACTGAAGTGATGTTTGAAGTTTGTGGTTACACATCTTCATATTATATTCCAGCATTAATCTCAAAGTAATTAATGAGCTGAAGAATTCTAGCTTTCTCATCGCTTTGAGGTTTTGTTTGTTTGGGGTTTTTTGTTTTAGGTTTTGTTGTTGTTAGTTGGTGTTCCCCCTCCATTTTAAGCCATTAGGTTATAAGTTTCTCAAGGAAATGTGATAATCTTCTATAATAATAGATGATGATAATTCTAGTTATCTTCACTTTGAAAGTGAGGAACTATCAAAAAGCCAAGTAACTTTCTTAAGGCAAGAGCAAGATGAGGGCAGATACAAGAATAGAACCTATGTATGATTTTCTGATGTCTGTCCTATTACTGGGACAGAGGTCATATTTCACAAGAAATAATCCAGGATTTGCAGGGGTGTACCACAAGCCATTTGAAACCATCTTTGTTCAAAAAGAACACCAACACCAAAAGAGCAAGTAAGTGATCCTTTTCTAAAAGAAGGGCAGACAAAAAAGCAGGAGAGCGAATTGCCAAAGATCATGATCAAGACAGGTGAAAATGTAGATATGAAGACAGTAAGTTAAATAATTTCTAGAGAAAAGTTTCAGAGCTTCTCTGATCTGTGGTTAAAACTTTACTGAGTTACTTTAACAGACTGGGGGGGTGGGGCAGTGTGGGAATGCAAAAGTTCCAGTGTAAAAAGGTTCAATAAACCACATGGACTAGTTTGACCAACTGCATTAATCTGTATCATAAGTAAAATAATTTAGAACTGTTTATTCTAAAGGCAACAAGCACAGCAACATGTTTGCCTTTACAACAGATCTGTATCATCAGCCATCTTAAATCAAACTGTTTAACAACTGAGGAAAATACAGTTAAAACCATATATACATTAATAGCAAAATTAAGTAGTACTTTAGCTAACTGCAGCACTTCTCAAATTAATTTTGAAAGTGTTTTAAATATGTGGACGTTTATAGCTAGTTTGAGCTCTCCCTTGCACTACAGTCAGAACATCAGCACTTTATCAAAGTAAGATTAATTGCACTGGATTCTACTTGAAAATTATTATTAGAATGCAAGTTGTTATGCACTGACAACCATAATCTATTCCATAGCACCAAGAAGGAAAAATGGTTGTAAAATAGTTAAGCACAATCTCCTAACAGTGATCTAGTATGAACTAGAACACAGCTGAAGACCCAAGAACACAGACTAATATAGTCAAACAGAGATTAATTTCCTAAGGATAAAATTATAGCTACCACTTCATTAAAAAGAAATAAAGCATTAGAAACTGCTTGTGGGATAGTCTTACTCAAGTTGGAAAGATGACAAAATTAAAGTATGAATAAGAAAGCAGAATAGCCCTGGATAGTCACAAGTCACGTAGTTCAGATCAAGTAGATACTTAATAATGGAAAGATCTACAGGCAACTAAAGCCTTAGTGTAATTCAGCAGAATTATGACACTGTCTTTTCCCTTGCCTACAGATTTGTCTCTGTTGATTCTCTGATTAAGTAATATTGTATAATATTGGTTTCTATCAGTTTTGTACTTAAAGTACATATATGAACTATAACATCTTCAATTTAAGTGAATGCTTAGCAGAAGTTACCAGTAGCTAAGTCAGTTATTTCAAATTAGCATTCTTTTTTGATGGGTTATGCAATAGTTTCCCTTTCATTATTTCTATTATAAATTGATTTTTTTTTCTCCTTAGCAAAACACTACTGATAAAAATATTTTGCTCTGCTTTTTTTTGTTTGTTTGTTTTTTTTTACAAAGGTTAACTATGCTCCTATGTCAGTAAGATTGTCATAGTTCTCTAAAAACTGAAACTTCTGATAACACTCTATAAACCCTAGAGAACTGAAGTAGTAACATGGCCTGTTTAGAGTAGGACTAATCTTAAACTTCTTAGTTAAATTGAACACTTCCATTTTACTTGTGAGTATATATATGTAGTGATTTTTTGAGGGGGATCACAGCCTGAATCACAATCTCAACCACCCCTTTTATCATTTTAAGTAACTTCTATCACTAAAAAAGCCCTAAGTCCAGAACTTACAAAACTTTATTTTGGTTAACATGAAAACTTTATAGCAACGATTTTACTTTTATGTTATTAGTCACAGGTAGCAATAAGGTAAATTCTGACTAGTCGTATGAAATTTTCACAATGAGAGTAGTTATATATTGAAACAGGTTACCCAGAAAGGTTGGTGAATCTCTGTCCTTGCAGATTTTCAAAATTCAGCTTGACTAGGCCCTAAGCAACTTGATCTAACTCTGAAATTTGTCCTTGCCTTGAGCAGAGGTTCTAACTAGTGACCTTAAGCATTCCCTTCCAACCTGTAAACTAAAGTGCATCTGTAACAGCATTGCAAATGGTGTTATGATTCAATCAATGCTTAGTAAGTTCCATCCTTTATACAGCTTTCACTTACATTTTTTGTTCCAGTTTGCTCTTACCTATAAGTTCTATAATTCCAGCGTGAATATTGAGATCCTGAGTGGCAAGAAGAGAGTCCTTCTTTTGACTATAATACTTTATTATAATGTCAAAAAGAATCTTCTTGTATGTATTCAGACTGCTCAGTTCGTTAGTGCTTTGAGGTAACTGCTCACTAACCATCACTATGAACTGGTCTGGGAAATACTCCAAGCATTCAATTGCAGCACAGAGCCATTTGTCAAGCCTGTAGAAGGAAAATTGGGTTTTAGTGCTCACTTAAAAATACTCTGCCTATTCTTATTTAACCCTTTAAAGAAAATGAGACAGAAATAACCATGCAAGTATAGTCACATATTTGAACCACAGCATTAAACTTGTTGCTTATTAAGCAGTTTTTATTTCACTATAGTGGTTCAAGGACCTGCTAAAAATAAGCAGCTTCCAAGGTTCTCCTATGCTACAAACAATGCACCTGAGGTATGCCCAGCTCAAACCGGGCCGAAATCATGCCAGACTGTCACTGACCACAGGACACTTGCCTGAGTATTTAAAACTAAACACCACCCCCACTATTACTTCAACACACATAATGAAAACCCACCAGGACTAACCAGAGTGAAAAAGCAAGGGACTGAATCTTCAGAGAAGAGACACAAGACAATTAGTTTGAAAACAGAGACAAATAAAAATAGTTTAAATCCTAGAAGACTGCAGAAGCAGTTTATTATATAAACTACTATAAAGACGTGAGTTTTCTTAAGCATTTCTTGCTGTATGACTTAACTAAGGGAGAGAAAATGTAAGGCAAATCTAAAATTCAGGTAGAAGACTCATTGTTCAAAGAGGCTGGAAAATCGGAGGAAAAAGTCACTAACTTAACCATTCTGTGCAGAAGAAATCTAAAATCATAGAACTGCAGGGGGTGGTAGGAGAACTACTTTTATCCCACTCTCTGCATAAAATAATTCGTACTGAATCAATAACTCCTGAGAAAATGCAAATATTATTTAAGATCCACACCATCTTATTTTTATCACAGAGAGCAGAAACAAAGATTTTTGAACTTTCTACTAGACAGATAAACACAAACTTTTGCTAGGGCTGCTGCAGCTGACAAGGACTGTATAAAACTCTTGGATGTGTAAATGGGATAATATAGTAACATAGAAATGGCATTACAACTTCCCCTTAGTTACAATCCAATGAGCAGTGCAATCACACTGTTTCTAATTTTATAATTCATAATAGAAAAGTCTTAAAGCAAAAACAAACTGGAAAACATCTTTGAAAGTTAAATATTCAGAAAGCAGTCTAGCTAGCTTTATAACAGAGTGTGGATAAAGCAGGATTTTATTACTGTTTTTAAGTACCTACATGGAGAACAGGTATTTGATTATTTCCAGTATAACATGACACTATTTCAAAACTGAAGACAGAAAATTTGAGATCCAAATTATGTTCCCCCCTACCCCCCTTCATATTGGGGGCAATTAATCCTACAACAACTTGTAATACTGGTGGCTATTCTTCATAACTGGAATTTCCCATTTCTCAGGCATGCTGTAAGCCAGACTTAAACAATATATAAAGATGCTACTCCAGTCTCGCACTTAAGTAATTCTAGAATAAAGTGATGAAGCAAGCATTTGATTTTCTTTATACTCATCTGATATATTAGCAAAGACTCAAATGTTAGAGACACTTACTATAAGAGTAATACAGAGTAACAATCACATATGAGAGATTTTAAGAGACATAAACCCACTAATCACCCAAGAATCAAGTACAATGGAAGTATAAAACCCAAAAGAAACTGTTCATTAATCCATTCTGGGATGAAAAACCCAGGGACTTAAGATGCAATCCATCAAAAAAGCTAGCTTGGAACCAGTTTTATTAGCTTCTATAAAACTCTAAACATATGTAAAAATATTAATACATTCTCCTTAAAGCAAGAACACATAAAAACTGTAAGAAAGTCTCTTTAGGTACACAGATTGACCTCATCCTCACAAACAGGTAAAAATTGTATTGATCTGACAGAAAAAAGCATTCCTAAGACATAAACACATGAGGAGATGTGCCTTGACATAGTCATTAAAAGTATGTGCTAAGATACAGGTCAGCCCAAGCGCAATCAACAGGTACACTACAAAAATAAGAGAATATTTAAGTAAAAAAGCACTAATGTGCAGCTACTTCCACTTCTATATTCTCATGATACAAGCATTCTTCAGAGCTACAGCTTAGTTTCTGCTTTTCTGTTGCTAATAGTAGATGCATTATTGAGTTTGTATCTTCACAGCACTACCAGCAGGAGCTGTGACAAACAAAAAGCCTCAGAATAAATTTGTTCAGTTTCTAATATCTCGTATAGATACCCAAGAATGAAGCATCTGCTCTAAAACTAGGAGTATTTTCAACATTTGACATTAAAGTTTTAATGCTTAAAATCCTCAAATGTCCAATCCTAAACATACACTTTTTGTGAATTCCCTTGCCACTTCTGAAAAGAAGTCAAAGGGAAGTACATTAATGCCACCCTTGTCTACAAGTATACAAGTGTAACAATTTCTGTTTACCAACAAATCCATTTTATTGACATACAACTTACTCAGGCAAGTTTAAACTATATGTAACCTCTCTGTCCAGGAAAGTATTTGAGATAATCAGGTCTTCTTCTTTGCCAAAACAGTCTGGTTTCGTCTTTGCTGAAGTCATCAAGATGTCTTCTAGAAGTGGAACATCAATTAACTGCAGTAGTCGTAGCAGAGTTTGCTGTTTCCAGACATCTTCTATTACTGATACCATACACAAACAAACACACACCCTCAGTAAGATCTTATGTAAAACACTAACGTTTCATTTTACTCACTCAAGAATGTTTTAAATGTTCAAAGAAAACAAGGTAACAGCACAGTGTGAAGCTTCTGTGTTAGGGAAGAAGGGATCGAAATAGTAATGCTAAGAAAGTAGGCTTTAAAGAGAACATGTCTCTCCATCATATTAGAATTAGTAATAACCTACTCTAGTTAGTAATATATACAAGAAAAGACAAGTGAATAACAAAGGAATCATATAATACAGATGTACTTAATCTTAAAATCTGTTTCCTTCTGAAGTGGTATTTGCATAAACATAATAGCACCATCTTGCAAACACTTAATCCTGTTTTGTTTCCTTCAGTTTACTTACAATGAGCATTTACCCATTTAGCACTCATTTAGCTATTTGGTCATAAGTTCCATGTTATATTTAGGACTCTGAGGGGCAGCGCTTAACAGGAGTGAGGTACTCACTCCAAGTAGATACAGTGAAGAACAATCAAGTTTTAAAATGAAAAATTCAATTCTCACCTCTTTTTGAAAGCAGATGAGTTGGTTCATTAACCATGATCTTTGGATGTAAAGATGTGTGAATATTTATTGATCGAAGAAGCTCCTCTATCCTCTTTTTATTGGATCCTTCTAATGCTACAGGGTTTGAAACTGTTGTTTCACATTTCATTCTCCTTAGGGGCGTGGAAAAAAATAGATGTATAACAAATAGGATCAGAACACATTTATCTTTCTGTCACTTCCTAAATTGCTGTTAATTGTAGCTGGGGTGTATCCTGCTGCTAGAAAACCAATCATCCATATCTGCTTTGTGGAAAGGGCAAGGATATTGATTCCAAATACTATTTATTAGTTTCATTTCTTTCATCAGCTTCCAGCAAGTAGCTCATTCATACTAATTCTCAGATTTCAGCACAACTGATTGCAAACCAAACTGATTCCTAGGCTTATACTACTCTGACAGACTCTATTCTAAATAACAAAGCGCAGATCAAAGCAGTTTAGCATTACCAAGAAATATTAGGTAGCATCTGCAATTTAGGCATGACATTTCTCAAAACTGGCATGCAGTTTTCAGAAGTCTCCAATATCTGGGTTACACAGACATCTACAGTTAATCCATCCTTAAAAATAATAATAATAAAAAAAATCAGATTAATTCAGAGTAACTCACTTGGAACAACTTTTTCTCTTCTGTTTGCAGATTTGCTCAGGAGACAAACTCTCATTGTCTTCATTCTTTCTTGGAAGAAGAGGAGTGAGACTGCTATTTACAAATCTATAGAGACTTGTGTTTGTGTCTTCAAACTCTGTTTCTTTCTCATTCTTGAATAAGTAAAGCTTTGCTCCAACTGGCTCAAACACCTTGTGATCCATCAATGCTTGGCATACACGGACTCCCTTTAGCCGAGAAATATCATTGCAGCTCAGGTACATGCTTTGCATAAGATGGCTTAGCACCACATCAACAGCATTTGAGCCGGTGAAACAGTTTTTATATATTTTCAGATGTTGCCTACGTCTTTTGATTTCCACCTGACTGTGAAGAGCATGAATAATACTATTCCACAACTGAGTTGCTTGAAAAGGACCATCACAATCTGCAAAATATTTACATGGAAGTTTTACAGATGTTTATAAAGCTTTACTTTATAATTTGTAAACATTTTTACTCTGTTAAATTAGTTTTACATATACATATAGAGAGAGTAATATATGTATATATATAGTAAAAATTTTAAAAATTTTTAAATTTTTAAATTTATTTTAAAATTCTCCAGAAATCAGTTTAATTTTACAAGGACAGAGAAAGATAGTACTTCATGAATCAGTCCTTCTTGTAAGTTGACTCACATCCACTAGGGTAGAATCACCAGAAGAGAACAAAAAGACACTAAAACAGGTGAGGAAGTGGTTTTTTGTTATTACCACACATACGGTATGTATGTACACATACACATTAATTCATTAAAGAATCACAGAACTGTTGAGGCTTGCAGGGACCTCTGGGTTCCATCTGCTCCAACCTCTCCTGCTCAGGTAGGGCCACCCAGAGCTGGTCGCCCAGGACCATGTTCAGAGAGGTTTTGAATATCTCCAAAGGTGGAGTGTCCACAACCTCTCTGTGCACCACTGAGAAAAGCCTGGCTCGGCCCTCTTTGCTCCCTCCCTTCAGGCACTCGTAGATGTCGATGAGATCCCCCTAAGCCTTCTCTTCACCAGGCTGAGCAGCCCCAGCTCTCTCAGCCTCGCCCAGGGGAGATGCTCCTCTCGACCACAGTTCCTCCCCCACGTACCGCTCTCAGCTCAGCAGACGACAAACCAACAATTGCAGGGTGTGAAACCTGCCTCCCCGCAACCTCCCGCTCCCAACAGGCGGTCAGAGCTCACCGCTCCACGCCCAGCCCGAGCGGCGGCGGCGGCGGCC